ACTCATCAGCAAAAAGACATGAATTCTACCTAGTATTGTAATACATGAGTATTACTTTGCATATAATGGAATTACGTGAAATCTGCAAAGGCATTCTTGCAGTAGTAGATAGTGCTTATGTGTCCCTTTTTGTTAAATACGTAATATTATAAAAAAAAAAATCCAAACATTTATTTCTATTGCTTAAAAAATTCGCAGTATCAATGTTATAAACCTATCCTTTGGCAGATAATCTTCCAGTGCTTTGTCATAATCAAATTGTAATGTGCCTAGATGGATGCTCAGGTACCGTTTTTGTTTAACCTGTACCTGTTTCTATTCTAATAACTGTTTTCCAGTCGCATAGATAATTATTAAAGATATTTCTGCTGCATGGGAAGACAGCAGCTTTCAGCTTACTGATCACATGGACGATTAATGCGGATGAAGCGTAATATAGTGTTACGTTAGCAAAATGCGGAAAATATGGCTTAGCATTCAGAGATCAAGACTAATTTGTCCTTTTAACATTCTACCACCATCGTTATCATTCTCGATGAGGAATGGGGTAGCTCAGTGCTATTATCTGCAACCAGAATCTGTTACAACCGTCTACGGCAAGATTTCGTCTACCTTGGCGCCACCTGAAGAATTCCTTTCTGATAGCGATGGCAACCCCAAGGATCTTTAAGCTCCAAAATAGATCACAAACCATCGGCTCTGTGGGTTGCTCTGACATTAAACTATCCACTCCTCTGCTTCGATGTTCCTCGACATCTCAATGACCGCTCCAACATAAGTAGAAAGAATATACGCATATAAATAAAAGACGGCCCATCTTTTATTGTTATTATTATTATTATGATTTCGGATGGAGAGGGGAAGGGGGTAGTGATTCAGTCAGAAATGGCTTGACCTCGACTAGTTAAGTCTTAATATCCGGGACAGAACTCTCAGTTTCACAAGGCACCTCGGAGCGCTCTGTTTCATGTTGTGTCTTCCTTCCCCTAGCCCCCAATTTGATTGCTTGTTATTGTTTCGGTTTTGAAAGCAGTGAGATAAGGTGATGAGATGGGAGGGGAGATTTTTCATACCTGTTTATACCCATAAAGGGTAGATATTGATGTTTTAATTTTAGAGGGACAGAAAAAAGTATGAGGATAAAAAGAAAGCTTTTAAATTTGGGATTTCCATAACGAAGCATAATTGGAATCATTACAGATGTATTTGTATTTTTATGGAATGTGAAAATTTACGGTAATAATTAATAAAAGCTTAGGATTTCACGCAATATCTGAATTTGGTTAAATAAATAAATAGATAAAGATAATTGTTTCCTGCTTTTATGGAGTGAAGTGTCTTAGTTTTAGGTCAATTAAAATACGAGTATCTTATTAACTTTTTGTCATTAATTTAATAGATGATAACAGTTGAATAACACATATAAATTATGATGTTTAAGGTGCACACGTATTGACTTTTGTGAAAAAACATGTTTTTATTTCTCACATTTCTCATTCACTTACAGACGATTGAAAGACATCAATGTTCAATCCTTGGTCCAGATGATGTACTTCAAATACATATTACACTATGTAATTTGAAGAAAAATTAGTGAGAGAAAGCATTTCACGAACACTGAAAAAACTTGCACTTATAAATATGGCAGAAGTATAGGTCATTATAGATGATGGTGGTGGTGTATTGAGAATAAGGCAAAGCACACTAGGGCTATCTGCCTAAGGGTAGGGATGCCTTCGTGGAGGACTTTCTAAGGAAAACTGGTTCATATACACGTTACACATGGGGAAAACCACGAAAACACCCATGCAGACAGCAGTTCGCGGGATTCGAACCTCGGACCGAAGTACCAGTGTTCAGCGATTTTACCGCTCGGCCGCTGGTGGGCTATAGGTCATTGTAACTTGAATTCAATGGATAAGCTCATTAGATTATTCTACAGAACTTAAGAATTAGTTAAAATAATTCTTAAAGCAATGTTCCATGTTAATCTTTTTTATTCTTTTTTTTAGTCCGAAGGGATTTGAATCCCGAAGGACTATTAGTTTCGTTTTGGCATTTTGCGTCGGACTCATAAATGTCGGTTCACTTTTCAAACTGTTGCCACAAAATGTTAGAGTCCTGCATTATATTTGAAGAAATTAAATAATGAAAAATCTGCATAAATGTATGTATATTTCTCGTATTGTGATAAAACAACGGTACATAGAGTCATCGAATTTTGAATAACGTAATCCTCCAACGAATATGAGCATGTGGAAGACCCAATTTGAAATTTGAAATTTGTTTTATGATCGATTTCCTATTTTTTAAAACTTTGACGAATTTTTTGATTAACAAACTCAAGGATTTCAAAGCGAGCAATGGCAACGTTGTGCAGAAAAAAACATTTTTATCTCCAGCGCGTGAGTCTCTGTATCGGAAATTCTAAAGATATGCTCGTTTTAAGACTATTTTGCGATATTGCTGTTGCACTGGATCTTATGGTTTAAGTGCGAGGAACATGATATTTAATAAAGGAAGGTAACACACAAAATGTTAAAAAACGCCCCTTTGGACGTAATTTAAAATCTGAAACATTTCAGATTTTTTTTTTTTTTTTTTTTTTTTTTTTTTTTGAAAGACATTTCCAACTGAGAATTGATTGCCATCTGGATACCGGAAATAATCTTTCTATTGATATCCTATTGAAGAAGGAAGAAGGCATTAAATAATTTTGAAGCAACTGAACTAGTAACTTGTTTCATGTAATTTGGTTTTATGTTGCAGTAACAAATCTGAATTAAATAAAGAATATTGTTATTATTGGATGTAAATTAAAGACTGACAGATCGGACGCGACTCATATTGTGTTATTACAGTCAATAATAATAATAATTATTATCATTATTGAATATCATAATAATGAAATTATTATTATTATTATTATTACCATCAATCATCAATAATTATAAAATTCACTAATTTTAAAGTTTTTTACTTATTTTTTTTTACTATTATTGTCCTCATTAAGACACTATTTCCTTTTAAGACATATTTAGTAATCCGAATTTCCTATAATATTTTTTTCCTTTTGCTAAATTTAAAATTAGATAGCTTTTCCCTCAAAGACCGCAATACCAAGAAAGACTGGATATGGATTATTTAGATTACGGTAAATCGGTTCGTTACACCCCCCCCCCGAAAAAAAAAAAGGAAAAACATGAAAACTCCAATCTAGCCAAACCAGTTGGCTGTGATTTATGTGATTTAAGCTCAGGTGGAAAAACCAGATTTAAGCAATTTTAATGTTCAACCGCTGGCATGTCTAAACTCAAAAAGAAATTAAATATTTTGATTATATTATTAACAATGTAAAGCATGTGTATTACATTATTAACAATGTAAAGCATGTTCAGAACTGTAGACTAAGTAGGCCGCCCAGCCAGTATAATTGTTAGTGACGATGACTGCCGTAACGATGAGTAACGACGTTTGTAAGTGTATAGTGTGTGTGCGGCAAGAAGTCACTCAAAGTACACAGCGAGCAGACGGTTCTCTCGAGAGGCTGCGGTATGTGAAAAGGGATGGGAGCTCCTCGGATTCCCCCACCCCAGGGGCGTTTACAAAACTATGGCGGAAGCTTAAAACTTATCTAGGCTCAGCACTACCTGAATCATATGCGGTACTACAGATGGGCTGACCTAGCTTCTACCTGCCTCTGTAAGTCTAAATGGTGAGAAAGTACTTAATATAAACAGCAATCAGAAACAATAACAACTTGTATAATGGGGTCATTAAAGGGTAAAAGCCCTGAAAGCAAACTTCCGTTATATGTTATGGTTTAACGGATGAAAATGCCATTCTGGTAAACTGCTGTGAGAACCAGGAGGTAGAACAGTCAATTGATCACACAATATCATTCAATTAAAAAAAATTATTGTGAATGTTGAATTTATCTTAAAAGCTTTGCACTCAAACTTATTTTCAACCATTGTAAATGTTACAATATGCATACCAATAAACCTTACTGTAAAATGTTATTTCAAAAGTTCTGATTTCTGCAGTATATATGTTTCGCACTATACTGTTTAAAATAATACTTATTTGAACACAAATTATTTGTAAATATTTTGTAGTTAGTTACAAGGAATTTGTATTAAGCTTTTAGTAATAAAACGAATTACATAGGTTTTTTACATCGTTTTTCCCGCGAAGTTTGTTAAAACAATATGAGCAATGAAACTTTTTTGTAGTCGATAGTATATATATCTTTTTGGAAAAAAACAGGTACATTTTACAACATGTACGATATATTTTTACAGTGTATATGCTAGTATAGAACATTCTTCTGTGAAATTTACTATAGTAATGCATTTTAATAATTTGTAGATCGTGTTATTATAAAGATACAGTTTTGTATAGTCTATTAGAACATTGCAATCTATTAACAAGAAACACAGCAAATCAGTTTGTAGATATAGATACATTAGAATTCTTTTGGAAACCCGGAGAGATAAAAAATTAGCAACCGCCTTCGCCGGGAATCGAACCACAGACCTCTGGAATACCGGCCCTGCGTGCAGAACCACTACACCACGAAGGCACGCTAGGAAAGTGGGAGAAATACCTTATAAGTTAAGCATTTTCCGAAATTAAACTACCGAATCAGATGTGATACTACGATAACACTGCGAAGGCACGCTGTGAGGAAAGCAAAAATGCCTTCCCCCAAATTAAGAGCGATTGGGGAGATGGAAACCTAATCGCCAAATTCAGGTGGTATTACAAATTATCGTCTACCGCATTTTAGTCAGACGCCACTTTAGCAGTTTACTCTATTAGGCTTTTCGAAACAGTAAGCACGAAAAATCACCCAAGCCTTCTCTAGGATTTGAACTCCAAATTTTCAAATTGCTAGCTGGGCATGCTACCGAATACATTACGGAGGCATGCAGTGAGGGAGGCAAAAATTCATTATATTTTTACAGATGTGAAAAAAGATTATAATAATCACATACATTAAATCTTACCAGCATTCATAAATTCAGAGGAGTTTTCAGTGCACATGAAAAGACTCATTTATACTGGTTGTAGAAATTTTTCTTTTTTTACTTGGAATACACAGATTTTCATTTAGCGTGTTTCCTAAAAAATAAAAATAATTTAGTATAATAATAATAAAAAAAATCTGAAAGCTTTCAGATTTTACATTACGCCCAGAGGAGCGTTTTTTAACGTTTTTTGTGTTACCTTTAGTAATTAAATATCATGTTTTAATACTTAAACTATAAAATTCAGTTCAAAGCCAATATCGCAAAATAATTTTAAAATGAGCCTATCTTTAGAATTTCCGATATAGAGTCTCACGCGCTGGAGATAAAAACGTTTCCCCTCCCCGTACAGTGTTGCCATAGCTCGCTTTGAAATTCTTTAGTTTGTTATTCAAAAATTCGTTAAAGTTTTAGAAAATAGGAAATAGGTAATAAAGTAGGGCTTCCAGATGCCCATATTCGGGTAAAAGTTTAAATTTAAAATTGCAATTTGAAATGGTTTTTATTCATATTTCATTCTGCTTCGTTTTTTTCTTTTCTTTTCCTTTTTGTAAAAAAGCTATAATAGTAATTTAAATTTTGAAATAAAAAAGAAGAAACTAAATAGATAAAATAAAATAAAAACTAGAATTTATAATTACTCTTGTGGGACATCTCAGAGTTTACAAAATGTCCCGGTCCATAATAAAAAGGATTAAAACATTTAATGCATATAATGAAAGTGGCTAATAGTATAGAGATGTTAAGTTATTTGAATACGGCAAAGAACATAAGAGGTATCTGTCTGCAGAAAACAATGTCTTCGTGGAGAATGTTCTAAGGAAAACTCACCTATATTCACTTTGTACAGAGGGAAAACCATGAAAACCAACCATTGAGGCAGCCTGTTTCTCTGGGATAGAACCCGTGTAGAACTCTCCGCATTCGATGGTCTTACCATTCAGCCACTGATGAGGCTGATAGTATGGAAATATCACATCTGATCAGAAGATGCTTTGAAACAATTCAAGAATTAAACAAATTTTTCATTCTTTGAATTTGTTATTAGGTAATAGCTAATTTATTCTTTACTATTCTTTTAAGTATAACTAGCTGTGTGGGCTCATTTTCACCATTAAAACAGATGAAAAGAATTGTAAAGACATTAGGTATACTTTTTGAAGCAGGAAAGATGAAAAATAGCAAACGCCTTCGCCGGGAATCGAACCGCGAACCTCTGGAATACCAGCCCAGCGTGCAGAACCACTACACCACGAAGGCACGCTAGGAAGGCGGAAGAAATACCTTAAAGAATTCTGATCAAATAATCAGCCAAGAACGATCAGCTAATTTGGCATCATTACCAAACGAAAGCGACTTTTTTTGAAACTTCTTTTTGATTTTTCATATATAAAAATGCAAATGATCACATTATGGCGAACAAATAAATCCTTTTGCTTATTTTAAATTATTCATGTATCATTTATATTTTTTTAAAGGGGAAAATAACTTTTTATGTAGGGACTATAAGTACTCGGGCACCAGCACGGGCTATCCAACCAAATGCTTATCCATCAACATTATATGTGGCTATAATGGCACTTCTAGCATGTTTTTTCCTCTATGATAAATCATAAACACTGCTTTTCAGGTCAAACAAGTTTAATAAATACATTCTGCAAGCGGCCGTCTTTTATGCTTTGATTTAGACACTTGACTATGGGTGTGTCTTTAATAATAAAATGTTGCTGCTGCAGTTGTTTTTACAACTTAATATGACCCTACTCAGCACTCACCTATCACGTGACATGTTATAGTCATTACTCATTGTAATTATTGTTAATAGTAGAATATTTTTCTTAGTTCAGTGTAAGTGCATATTTCTTGCTTTTATATCTATTCTTCATTCATTTATTTAGGCCTCCTGCAGATACTTACTTATATGTTAAAAACATTTAAAATCATAAGCACCGTATAAGTTCATAGTAATGAAATGTGTTTATAGTAATTTAAAGGTATTTAAATTAAACTGGATTTTGGTTCCACTAAGCCTTACAAATAACTCATTATTTTCTATTAACATAAAACGCTTGATAAAAAAAATAATTAAAGAAGAAATGGATTGATTAATATTACGTAAGTCAATGCAGGGTTACCTTAGAGATATAAAAATGTGTAGAAATATATATTGTGTTCTTTAATACAGTACTCCATGGTTTTACCAACTTGGTTTCTCCATTTGTTTGTTATGTCAATGTTATCTTGAAATTAATTTTTAATTAACCGCCAGTTTTCTCGAAATTTTATTCATTTCTCGAAATATACATATATATATATATATATCGGTAACAATACATGTACAAATAGAAGTAGACGGGGCACCAGAATTTCACCATTTGTTGTACAGGTATAGTCCAAGCGAAATTTTTTTCTTTCTTAAAAATTCAGTATTGATTTTTTAATTTAATTTCGAAATTTCCTGTCATATTCTTAAAAGAACCCTTTTGGATGACCGTTAAAATATGAACCATTTTATATATTTTAATTTTAAAATTCTTTATTTTATTTTATTTCATTTATTTTGCTATTAATATATTAAATATAAATTTACGCTATCGGATAAATCGGAAGGCTCTTAGGAGAGGGAGAAGATTATGTCACATTGTTGCTAAGGTGAATAAAGGAAGAGATTGTTCTTCTATGTGTAACTAAATTCATGTACTTTGAAACAATTTCACATTTAAATACTTCATATAAATTTGCGAAAACATTTAGTCGTCCTTAGTAACAAACAGTAAATATAAATTTTGATTCGCAAAGAAATGTTTTTATACTAATTTTAAACTTCAAATTTACATTAAGAAAGTATCTTTTTTAAAAACGTATAGAGACAATTGCATTTATTAAATAAACTTGATTTTGTGTTACATGTCAACAAAGAGTGCTTTCGTTTCTTTATTTTTTCACTTGTTAACTAATTATGGTTACTTATTTACCACCTAAAACTCTGCTTGCTTATAAAATTAGTATAGGTCTTAAGTCACTTTGTAGAGCCATTGGATTTTGTCGAATAAGAAAACAAGCCCACCGGCGGCCGAACGGTAAGTCGATGAAGCTGGTAATTAGGTTTGGGATTTAAATCCTGGCGAACGGGGCTGCATGGGGGTTTTCGTGGGTTTCCCCTTATATAATATGTATACAAACAAGTTTCCCTTAGAAAGTAATTTACGAAGGCATCCCTCCATTTAGGCAGATAGCCCTCGTGTGCTTTGTAGAAATGAAATTGAATAAACCGAAGCAGGAGATAGGAAAATTATGCAATGCTTTCGACGGTGCGATGCTTTTTTATGCAATCAAAAACCTCCCGACTGCCAGCCGAATGTGTTTCCATTTACACCACAAAGACTCGTAAGGAGGAAGGAAATGCTTTACAGCTTACTATGCAAACAATTAGAAGAACGTTTTAGCAAAAAATACTCGTACTTGAAAGTAAATCGTGTCTAAAGACGATATGCTAACTGATGACAAGAGTACACGTGAAAAACGCCTTTAATTTTTAACATTTTTGCTCTCTGTTTTAAGTTCAGTAATTAGCAACTTAATAAAAATATGAAAAACTATTTAATGAATCGCTGAAAGGGGGTGTCTTTGACTGAAATAAATGTTTTCAAGTACAGGTAATTGTGCTACGAAAACGTTTCTCTATTTAAAAATCATGCAATTATTATTTCTGAATTGTAAATCTGAAGTCTTAATTTTGTCGAAGGGAAGAAAGACAGTTTAATATGTCTTCATTTTGTGTAAAAGCAAGTGCTATTTATTCAATTAAAGTTAAAATCGAAGAAAAAATTAGCTAACCTAGTGGAAAATTATTCAATAATTTCTCTTAAGGATATTTAGTGATTGCTTTTAATAATTCTGTTCTTTTAATCGTTATGAATAATGATTTAACAACAATCGAATGAAATGCTTTTACTAGAAACAAGGAAAAGGGAAATTTTAATGCTTTTATTATTACTCAGACTCGTAAAAATTACTTTGTGTCATTTCATATTATTATATATATCTACAGGAAGTATAACTGAAATTGAATTGGTAGTTTTGGAAAGATTAGAAATTTTTGGCCGTTTCTAAGCATAAGGTTGTTCGAAACATTAGACAAGGTGTTTCGTATTGAATAGGACAAAAAGAGAGTATACCTGTAATTATTTTATTTTGATGAATCAAATTTACAGTGAAACGACAGTTACCTAAGTTTCTATATATGTACTATGCGTGTCCTTCCTGTGAAACGGCAAATATCTATGTGGTATTCCAGTTCCTGCCGCATTCATGATGGAGTATCCTTTGTTAATAATTCGAGCACTTCAGTTACCTGCTGCTCCAAGTTACTTAAGTCCTGGAGAAATGGAGGCATGAATGCTTAGTCTTTAACAAAAACCCATAGAAAAAAATTACAAGGATTTAAATCTGGATATCTCGGTGACCAACAAAACAATGGCACAGCACGACTAATCCAGCGATGGGGTAGACTATCGTTCAGATACTGGCGTACGTTTTTATTCTTTTGTGGTGGAGTACGGTCCTGCTGCTAAATGAAGCCGAAATCCGCTTCCTTCAACTGAGGGAACAACCAATCTAATAGCATGTCTTAGTAAATACATCTGTTAATCGAATTTTCCACAAAGAAAAAAGAACCAAAAGCAAAATTATTGGGAATGGCGCAAAAAGCGTTCACCTTTTGAGATTCATGCTCATGTTCTATTATCCATTTGGATTTTTTGTGCCTCAAAATCGTAAATTATGGCGATTAACTTTGCCAGAAACGTGAAACGTGGCTTCATCCGTAAACACAATTCTGTTCGAGAAACCATCTATTTCCAACTTACCTTGCAAATTCTTGTAGAAAGCTTTAAGCAACGGTTTGTGTATGGCCATAACTGTAAACGTTTCCGTAACACATGTCACACCGTTACATGCGGCATACTGAGTTCAAACTCGCACCGCCCATTGATTTTACGAGACATCATTAAAACATTGTACGAATTCTTTTAAGAACTTCGGTTTTGAAGGCTGTTCATCATGGACTGGTTTTCTTATACAAGCAGGCAGCCC